GAAGCCGGAGAACCCGGAGAGAACCCACGCTGCACGGGGAGAACATGGAGACTCCACGCAGGAAGATCCCGGGTGTCCTCACCGGGACGCCAACCGGCGAACTTCTAACTGTGAGGCCACGGTGCTAACCACTGATCCACTGAACCACCTGCAGCCCGTATTGTGTGAATGCAGCATGCGTCTACTGCACATCCACACCAGAGTTTTAGCTACTTTATGAGTTATTTTGCTTCTTAAGTCACTAGATTTCACATCAGCATCACTGAGGAGCAGCGAGACACAAATGAATGAAATAAAGTTCTTCAAAGACCAAAGACCAGCCAGTTTGATCCAAAACAGGGCTTCAGGATTGTTCATTTAACTTGGAGGCAAAAACCCAAGCAGCAGCAGCAGAAGAGGAGATGGAGTTTGTCTGAGGTGAGGACTGGGCTGGACGTCCACGCTCAGTCTTATTATTGTACAGAAGGCATCTACACGACTCTGGAAGAATCCAAAACTAATTCTCAATCTAAACCCCTAATTAGTCCACAAAACGCAAGCTAGCTAAGAAGATAAATATATATTTCCCTGATACCTCTTGTCTTATTGGAAGAATGTCATGATTGAGCGTCAGCAGTGAGTCAGCTGGCAGCCCTTCTTGTTTTGTTCATGTATTTATTAGGCTATAGGGTAAGCTGGGCTCCTCAGGGACCCGGGGCGGTCTGGAGCCAGCTCATGTGTGGCTGGACGCTTCACGAAGCGCTGCTGTTATCTGGAGAACATCTGATCAGTCGTTTATCACAGCTACTCTTTCTTTCTCTTTCACACACTTGTTTTTCTAAGGATCCGTCCGAGGAGTTCACAGCATTCTTCTGACTTTGTGAGTTTAGGATTCACTCGAAGCTTCGTTGTGTGAAACACAAAGTCGTCTGATCAGTCACGTATCAGTCCCACTTTCTCACTCCTTCTCTCTAAATCACGCACCAGATGCCATCATCTGTTCAAGGCTTCTTCACGGTACAATATTCATTTTGCAATGCCACATATTGATCATGTTTCCTCCCTCTTGATTTGCTCCTATTGCCTTATAGGGCGTTTTACATATTCATGGAGCAGGAGGGTGGTGCTGAGCGGTGCCGGTCTGCCACGGCCAGGAAGTTTGTCTGAGTCCAGCCCTGATAGAGGATGATGACAATAAAGTGTCTGATAAAAAGTTGTATAATTTACTACCCTGCCGATGTCATTTCTAAATTTCCAGCTGCACGAAACGCGTTTCAGAGGGAAGCTCCAGCAGGACAACGGAGGTGAAGCCTGACGCTGTCGGTGCTCCACGCTGACCTGAACGATGCAGGCTGCAGCTTTAAGTCCTCCCAGTGTGTCGACTAATATGAAAAGGTGCTATCCTGGTCGTCCAACTCTCACTGATTCCTTGTCACGGTTTATTAACGTCACACTCTCAGTGCAGGCCGTCAGCGGTTTCTCAGATATCATCAGAGTTTATGTGAGCCGTCCCGCCCCAACAGGTGCAACAAAACTAACAGGAGAGTCGAGAGATTCAGTCAAGCGTGACCGGTGCAGGCTCACTCAGTCACGAGGGCCACGCTGAAACACACCTGTGGAGGCGGAGCCAGCCGAGCCGGTCGATGCGCCTCAGTGGCCGACAAAGGCGAACAAAAGAAAAGCATTCTGCAGCCAAACAGTGACGGGCGAGGGAAGGTTTCATGTGATTTAGGGACGTTGTATGTGGAGGCTGTAAAGTGCTCTGGTGTGGAAGCTTTGTCTTGTTTCTGGGGAATGATCGCTTTAGACCGACGCCAGGAGACAGAATGGGCAGCGATGTGGAGGGCAGAAGGTCAGACAGGTCTAAATAAACCACAGTGGGATCAGGACATCTGCGCCGTTCGTTTTAATTAATGTTTTGTAGATTTAACAAAAAATAAAGCACATGTAGCTGCAACACGTCAGAGGTGGTGGAAAAAAGTGTGAGTGGAGCGGCGGTGCATCGACACACAGGAGGCTGACAGTCGGAGGTGTTGGCAAACCAGCCTCGCAGCGCTCAAGTGGATGTTTCCTCTGAGCCGCCGTAGGCGAGTGCAGCCGCCCACACCGTCTATCCACACGGCTGTGGGCGGAGAGCGGCTGACGTACACGGGGATGTGGATTTTACTAGATTTACATTTTTGGTTTTCAGACAAATCTTAAAAAGAAAAGCAACATTTTTTAGGCAGTGTGTGCACAGGAGGCGCTGTGCAGAGGAGAGCAACACACCACAGAGACGTCCTCACTGCATGCTCTGTGTCTATTGGTCAGACGCTCTGAGCGAGTGAATAAGTGCATGAAGGCAGCGCAGTAACCGATGGTGATGCCACATGTTCACACATGAACAGCAGAAAGTGACCAACACGTGTGACGAACGTACAGACAGAGCACATGCTTGTTCAGTTAAACCTGTAATCCATAACTTTCCACACATTCACATGAAGGCAAAGCTAAAAAACCTCTGTGAGTTGTTAGAACACGGCACCAGTGACCAGACTCCAGGTAAAGGTGCATCGATGCTATATTCATCAGAACTTTCAGCTTCTACCAAACATCTAAAGACAGCTGCTGCTATTTATTGTTTCACTTCTGACGCCACAAACTCCAGGAACGTAGAATAAAGCACAAAGCCAGGTAGAAATTAAGAACTCTGAGGTCGAGCTAAAGTTAGCCGGTGACCAGCTTCGCCTGTGAGTCATGCTGTGAGGGTGGCAGCAACTGCACCAGTGATGGGAACTGAAACACAAGCCAAGGGTTGCGATACCTGTCAGACACCACAGAAGAAGCAACCAGTAACGTGTGAGGCCGTTGTGTAGATTGCTGCATACATTACCACCACACCTCAGCGACTGAATTGGCAGTGGTGTGGTCAGAACGTCGCTGCCGTTCTCAGAGGGCATCAAAAGCAGAAGAGCTGATCTGTGAAGAGGCGTTTCCTGGACCACAGTTTCAAAAAAGTGTCTCTCTTTTTACCTGCATCTGCTTATTTTTGGCGAGTGTAAACTGGTGGGTTTCATTTCTGTCTAAGAATACACATGAGAACAATAAAAAACACCCAAATGGACAAAGAAAAGTCAAAAGGAGCTTTGACTTGTGTGACTGTCGTGCAGACAAACTGTTTTAATGAATGTGTGAGCTGCTCATGAAGGACTGTGTCGGCTTGTATACGGATCATAATAAAGGTGTGTCACCGTCTTACCGTTGTGCGACATGCCAACGTTGAGGCACTTCTGGAAACGACAGTATTGGCATTTGTTGCGGGACTTTTTGTGAATCCGACAGTGAAGGTCGCAGTGATCGTACACCAACTTTAACCTGATTGTGCGTCTGAAGAAACCCTGTGAGAGAAAAGAGAGAAACAGAGACGTCGTTACGACAGATGCTGCTGCTGCAGACGGGTTTTCTTTTTCTATCGTTGCTCCATTCTGCTAACGCTGAAAAAAAAAAGTGAAATGTGATTACAAGAGTAGTGGGAGACGTGAAGTCCACTCCTGGTTCTGTGTGCATGTTGTAAATACTGTAGATTATAGGTGACACACCAGAGGGTCACCACAGGGCGTCACAGGACACAGGAAGGCAGCCGCTACCTCTAAACCAGGTCACGCTTTCCCACCAAAGGATCAACATGGTTTGTATTCATCTGTTCACGTTGTGGCTGGAAGGACTTGGTGCTAGAGCAGCTCCATGTCGGGTCCTTCAGCTAGGAGATACTGATCAGGGACCCGGCTCTCTCAGGTATGTGAGGAAATCAATCATGCTCGCCCATAAGTGGAAAACAGGTGGTGTGTCAGGGTGGCTTTGATGTTTTCAACCTTAGGACCAAAGACGTCATAAGACCTTCACTTATCTCAGCTTCTAACCATCCAGTCACGGTCAAACACACACTCCTGCACCAGGACCAGGGTGGCTGGTGGCTGCAGTGCTGTGAGAGCTCCAGGAAAGACAAACTGAGACATGAGGAGAGTAAAAGTCCAGTCATCCCATCACTACGCCATGACGGCAGAAGAACGTCGAACCAACTCTGTGGAAAAGGAACTGGACAGCATAAGTGAAGGGATGAACACCAGAAAACGTCCAGGAGTCCTCAGAGTACCGTTAAATCCATCATGAAGGAATAGAACAAATATGGCACATGAGCAGATCGGCCTACAGCAAGCTGGCCTTAAAAGCTCAGACTAGTGATGGAGGCCACCAAGACAGCCATGACTCCTCTGAAGGAGGTCCAGAGCTGATGAGGAAGACGCTGTCGACACAGTGGTCTGGGTTCTTCACCAGTTCAAAGCTTTACGGGAGAGAGAGGCCCTGTTGAAAAACTCGTGCTAACCCTTGACTAGAGTTCACCAGAAGGCGTGTCAGAAACTCTGAAGTCAGCTGGAAGAACACTGTTGTGTCCAATGAGATCAGAAGTTAGAGCAAGACGCTGTGCTTGGTGGAAACCCCACGGAGAAGCATGGTGGTGGCAGCATCATGATGTGGAGATGCTCCTCAGTGGCAGGCCTGGAAGGTTTGTAGATGAAAGCAACAAAGCGTAGAAACATCCTGGAGGACAATCTGACAGCCTGCAAGAGAACAGTGACTGTATCTGAGAATATCTGTTTTCCAGCAAGACAATCAGCCGAGAACGGAGCCAGAGCTGCAGACATGGTTTAAAAACAACAAGGTGAACGTTCTGCAGAGGCCACGTCAGAACCCAGACCTCAATCCAACTGAGAGTTTGTGGCTGGACTTCAGAATGGGCTGTTCAGTCATGATTCTTGTGCAATATGACAATTTCGCAAAACAGAATTGGGTAAAATTGCAGCGTCCAGATGTGCAAGAGTGACTGAGCTCCGTCCAGCCGGCTCCATGCTGTGACTGAGGCCTGAACTGCATCGACTGAACACCGGCTGGAGAATCACTGTAAAATCACCTATTTACCTTTTGTGGTTTCATCTAACTGACATTACTTTGTAGAAATCAGTTTTTACTCGGACACTAAAGAGCCTTTTTTGTAAAAAAGTCTAATTATATCAACCATGGTTCAGTTCTGAAAGGCAGCAAAGCCTTCTCATAGGCACACACACATCTGGACAAGCGAAGGCTTGTGTGTTTGGCATCTGCATTCCTGTGATCCACAGATGTTCCTTTTTTAATCGTAGGATATTTAAAGAACGAGGAAGTTAAAGAGGGTCAAGACTCCACCTCAATAAAGAATGTTTTCTGTTTTAAAACAATTAAGTGTTTGCCTGCTTGGCTGACCCCGTCTTCTGCTGAGCGTCCCCTGAGACTCTGGCAGAACAATAACTTCTGCACCGTACCTTCATTCAGCCCTCAGCGTACAGTATGGCTCCGTTCAGGAGGGCAGAGAAGCCTATAGGCCTGTACCACAGCAGCTCTGACTGTGTCAGAGAGGTGTTGTTTCATCTCCGTGGCAGCGGCTGTACTCGGCGGTTGCATCGCATGCGACTGTCTTGAGCTTCGTGCAATCCTGCTGCTGCTTCTGACTGTGACATGAATGTGTGCGGATGTGCAGAAAGGCAGGTGCATGTGTGTGTATATATATATATATATATGTATTTATGTTTGTTTGACATTTTTCTTACATGTACATATTGTCATTGTTTTTATTTCTAATAATTTTCTGATGGCGAGTTTTTGCATCAAAATTTCAGCCAAAATCTGCCCCAAAGAGTGTAGATTCTGTCTGACAATAAAGAGGCTGTTCTGTTCTGTTCTATTCTATTCTAATCTAATCTAATCTAATCTAATTTAATCTAATCTATTCTATTCTATTCTGTTCTGTTCTATTCTATTCTATTCTATTCTATTCAAAGGCTACACCACCGTTCAGTCCCTGCGTGAGCTGCACTAAACATTTTAAACAACCAATCAGATTCTTTATTTTAAATTTTGCAGATAAAAACCATGAAAACCTGAAGCCCACCTGGAGTCCGACTCGTCTGTAGCTCTTTATTTCCACTCAACACGTAAATCTGCTCATCATGAATATTTTTTTGTTCGTTTTGATTTGTTCTCGTTTAGTGCAGACTTAAAACTCGTCACTGAGTGAATAGCTGACGTAGAGCAGCTCTTCTGGTCCATCAAAGCCACCCTGACATGCTGAGAAACATTTTAAAACATTCAAGGAAAAATGAGAATGATGAGTTCAGTTGCATTTGTTTTTGAGCGTCCAGGACTCAGATCACTGCACGACTGACACACTGAACAGAGATGAAAGAGGGAAAACAAGATGGATAGAAAATAAACCAAGACAGAATTATAACGAGCAAAAAACAAAATAGGAAAGAAGGTAAAATAAAGGAGCTTGTGGTTAGTCTGGGGGAATTACCGCCACAAGAAAAAAAGGTGTGAAAATGTCTGGAAATGACTTTTCGTTATCAGAAACCCCAAACACCGAAATAATGAAAATAATTTTAAAAAAGATATTATAAGGATGAATAAAGATGAAAACATCTGAATTATGTGATGAAAATGCTGAACAACTGAGGTTCATAAAGAGCTCTGCTGCTGGTTCGGTCGTCTTGTTGGGGTTTGCTGACAATAAGAAAAGAGCGTTTCCTTGCATGTAAAGCGGTATTTTTAGCAGGTGGAAGGTGTTGCGCTGCGTTGCATCATCCTGCTCGACAGCCCCTTGCTGCACTTCAAGGTTCCCTTTCTCTCTGATGCTATCAAAACCAAGGCGTCTGTCTCAAATGAATAATAAAGACCAGATGGTGATTCTCCAAAATGGCATTTCTCATAAATCACTCTGTAACATCCAGTAAAGACGACTGTTTTAAATGGTTGAAGCATGAAAAGCGATCAGATCTGTAATAAAGACGCTTTATTCTCAGTCAGCGTATGTGCTCGCTGTTCACACCCAGAGACGCTGAGGCTGATTCTAAAGCAGCTCTCATGTGTCTTTGAAGGCTAATGCCACAACTTGTAGTTCATCTTCCACATCATCTAATGTGTCAATATTTCAAAGAAAATGGAAATATGTCTGAAACTTCCTCCCCACACGCTATTAGTTATTTATACTCTGTACAGACAGACAAACAGACGGAGGGTTTGAAGGGTTGGCGGCCTGCTCGCTGTTCGCTGAGCCCTCGCTGAGTGGAAAAAGCCCGGGGCTGTGGTTAGAGTGACAGACATCAGAAAGATGAAAAAATGCTCGATGCATGATAGAAATTAATTCCACCGACATGTGTCACCTCAGGGTGACACGCGGTGACAGAAGAAGGAAGGCTGGCAGAGAAACACCACTTCACCATTTGCAGGAGAAAGTGGTGCACCTGCTGCCGTTTCCTGACACAGCGCGAAGGTGGCGTCTGTTTCATCATTACAGAGCCTCTGAATTCACCTTCCACTGCTGTGCAGACAGTCTACCACATCATGGACATTTCTAAACTCTCTGGAAGCCAAAACGAAACCTAAGCTCCAGCAGACTGCTGCACATATTACCAGTAGCCGTTACTGGTGGTGATGGTGGCAACCCGCTGACAGAAGAGGCCTTTAAATACACGACCTCTGAAGTGTGAACATGTGAAACCTGCTGAGCCGACAGCTCCGGCTGATCAGTAACAGTGCTGGTTCCAGCCCGCGTCGTGAGGATCTGGTGGTTCTCTTTGTGTCCGGTGATAATAAGCGGAACACTTTGGGGCTCATATGCAGATTAACAGACAGTTAAAGAAACACTTTGGTCGCGTTCTGTCTCAGTTTGTTGTCGTCTCCACCTGCGGTGCCCTTCAGTCCTACCTTACAGCCCTCACAGGCGTGGACGCCATAGTGAAACCCGGAGGCTTTGTCCCCACACACTCGACACTCGATGTTCAGCGCCGCTGATGACGTGTCGTCCTGAAGCTTGGAGAACACGGGGCTGTCAGAGTACAGAGGAGGCGACTCCGGCTCCAGCTTGATTGAATCTGTGAGAAGAAACATCATCAGGCAGCCAGAACACACAACAGACGGACAGACAGACGGACGGACGGACGGACGGACGGACAGACAGACAGACTGACTGACTGACAGTCAGTCAGTCAGACGGTCGGTCGGACGGACGGACGGACAGACGGTCGGTCGGACGGACGGACAGACAGACTGACAGCTAAAACGTTCACATCTCTCACATCTGAGGTCCGTTTTCAGGTTCATCATGCTACTGGTTAAAGCTTTAATGAGCTGTCTAAGCCGTGTGAACCTCCACACCTCACCGACTCTACATGTGCTGCACCTGAAGCTGTTCCACATGAACACATTTCTGATGCCACATGAAACAAGTTGTAAATGATTCAGTTTGTTCCTCCTGCGAGAGAACGCTTTCTGCTAAAGAAAGAGCGAGTTCACAAGTTTTACTTCTGATTAACCCACGACACAGACAGACTTACTGTGCGTGTCCAGCTCCGTCCTGTAGCTGTGCATGTTGGTGTAGTCCATGTTGGTCAGGTGTTCCTCGCTCTGCGGGGGGCTGAGGTCGTAGGCCAAAGCAGCCGAAGACATGGAGGACACGAGGGACGGTGAGGACAGAGAGGACGGGATGGATGAGGAGGAAATGGAGGCGTAGTCCAACGTGGACAAATGCTTCATGTCCAGGGAGTGGGAGCTGTCGTCCAGCTCCGGCAGGTCCACCGTGCTCAGGCTGAAACCGACGGGCCACGCGAGGAGCTGCTGGGTGTCCACCATGTCTACTGTGAGGAGAGACGAAGCGAGCGTTAGCTGTGAGGACAAGTTAACTGAAGGTGGCCTTGAGAAAACAAACCAAAAAAAAGAAGCAGGAAGGAGAAAGAGGGAGGATTACATGAAAAAAAATGTAAAAAAAAAAACAGATGGAGACAGAAATATTCAAAGAATCCCAAGGCTGTAGTGGCCATACGCTGCAGTCAACAACTTATCAGAGCAGGGAGGTTCTGATTGGCCCTATCTCTGCCCAGTGTGATGATAAAACATGAGAGACCAGCCCGAGTGCACGTTTCTACTCATTGATGATCCCTGAATGTGCTGAATGTGCCGGCTCAGGAAACCTCAGAACATCTGCACAGAAACCCGCCGTCGTCTCGCAGCGCTGCGACGATCCTCATTCCTGCGGTCTGTCTGTTATCTGGTGAAGGAGGCACACTGACAAACGGAGAACAAGACGAACTCTGGCCCTGACCACCGTCTCTCCTGCTGCTGTTTGGGTGTTTCGCTGTGTGATTGGCCAACCAAAGGACACAGAAATAGGCCAAGGATGGTCCTCTGGGCTGGAACAGACTGCACCGTCCCAGTTCTGGAGTATGTTAAGGACCGGCTTGGCAGTAGAAGACTGCGTGGCGTGACGGTTATATTTTTATTTAGCGGCCACCATTACTAAAGGACACAGCTGGTGATTATCAGTATTTTCTTATTGATAATAAAAGGAGCCGTGTGGAGGACTCAGTGGCCTCTAGTGGTGAGACTGCAGGTCCCTTTAAAGCGAGAGCGTAGGAAGGCTGTGCGTTAACGTAGAAACACTAAAGGCCCTCTCTGGAGTCGGTGTTTGGTAGAAACCTGCTCCTGCGTAGCCATGCAGAGCTCATCAACACAACCACTGGTAGCTACTGCTGGTTCTACACAACCACGCACCACACTGCTCATATATCTGCTGAATCCTACACACTGAGCTTTAAAAGACCCAAACCAATCGTCTGTCCTGCTTCCAGGACACCCAGCATCTTCGTTGGATCCCTGCTGGAAGTGCTTTCACATCTACTGAAGATGTAAATCTGGTCATGAATGTATGTTTGTTTTATTATTTCAATAAAGCCTAAAAATGTCCTGAAAGCCTCTGAGCCGGTGGTCCACAGCGAGCGCTGCTCACAGTGTAAAGAGGACATTAGTTGGAGGCTGTACGCACACTGGACCGCCTCAGATTAAACGAGACCGGGACACGAGGTCCAGTGGACCGCTGCAGCCTCCTGCTGTGTTCTACTGGATGCTGAACTGAAGGTGACTCAGGCATGAACAACTCATTCATGCACGTTTTGCTCAGTAATCTATGATGAGTCCACACAGCTCCGGCTGGACGTTCAGCTCTTTGTTGATTCAAATCACTGAAAGCTCTTCAGTCATTCAGATGTGAACACAGTCAGCCGAGAGGCTCAAAGTCCGGCCATCACGGGTTACTGCCGACCACACCGGGCCAGACTGTAGGACCACTGGTACAAGACTGTGAAGCAGAACACGACGTCTGTAGGATGTATTTAATTCTCTTTTCTAAGCTGTGGCCCGACATGACAGGTCACCTGAAGACAAACGCTACTTCAGCATCAGGATGGAGAAGCTCAGGACCAGGGCTGTTGTTCTGGAGATCTTACGGACCCCCTCTGGCTGTTGTTCTGTCACATCTATCAGCTCCTCCTGTCCTGTTGTCTGTTGGTTTAAAAAATCTGAATAAAATATAGAAAAAGGACGGAGAGATTCAGTTGTCACTACGCTGACATCTCGTGTTGTAATCAGCTTGAATTCTGATCTTTATTTAGACTAAACAAACCGTGTAAAGGAAGAGATTGCACAAATAATCAATAGAGTAAACGGTCTGTGAACCGGACCACCTGACCCGCTCAGCAGCCTCTAGAACCAACACCGAGTCTCAAAATAAACCCTCATCAACCTCCAGCGTAAAATAATCAGGAAACAAGAATGTGATGAATTATGCAACAGGACGAAGCTAAAATACTCGGATGGCACCGCGGCACCAGGTTTCAAACGGGCCTGAAACGGCTCCAGATCATTTGGCAAAACATCCCCGTGAGTAGAAAACATCCTCTTCTTCCCACTACACACTGCTTCCTCCTCTCTGGTCAGGAATGTGGCAGCAGCGATCGGGGGGTCCGCTTACATTCACATCGATTGTAATGTTGCTCCACGATAAGAACCAGAACCAGTGTGTGCTTCCACTGCTGACTATTAATAACCACTCAAACCTGCTTATTTTTCCCGTTTGTTGGCCAGCTGCCAGCAAATCCGAAGCTAAAATAGACGGAGCGACTTGTGTCCTGGTTGGCATCGAGTCATCGTATAGAGAGAGCTCCAGAGATACAGCGGGAGGGGCGAGCAAGGCCCGGACCACTTGAAAGAACCCTAACGTCCCCTATAGGCTCCAAGGAAAACCCCTACATGAGGAAACTCATGCTCTGTGCTCAGCCCGACCGACGAGAAGGAAGGCGGCTGCAGCCGGCAGTTAAACCGAGGTGCTTAAATCATGTCGTAATCGAAGGTGAAAACAAGTCGGTGCTGTAGGTTCTGAGCTGCTCATGGAAACAGAAAACCCGCTGAATCCGACATGTTTGTATCTGCGAGTGCTGTCTGGGAAAACAAGCTGTCAGGCTTCATAAAGGGAGACAAACGATCAGCGAGGATCTGCAGCGCGTCCTGCGTCCACAAAGGTGTGGAGCACGTGTGTGGCGCTGGTGCCAGCTCGCAGCGCTCCGCTTGTCAGAACTTGACTACCAGGTGAGCGAACAGTGCAGGAGAGCTTCCTATTGGCCACTGCCTCCGTCATGACATAATAACAATGGGCCAACGGCAAACTGGCAGGCAGGTCCGGCAGGCTGCTGAACCTGTGTGTGAGCGCATCGGCCACCTCACGTATCTCTGAAGACAAAGACGGAGCTGATCCGTTGAGACAGCGAGTGAATGCATTCTTACATAAAGCTGTAGCTGTAGGAGAGGCTGCATGCTGCTCTCAGCCTGAAAGCAGCAGCTCTGGAGAAAGAGGTGAAACCAAGAGGTCAAACGGAGACATGTGAAATCTCTCCTTCAGGGACAGAGTTGCAAAACCGATGCAATTTTTTTTTTCACGCTCATATTTCTTTCACAAGAGTCATGATTCAGTCAAAACAGACCGAAGCAAAAGCAGGGGTTCAGATTACTGCACAGAAAGGCGTTTTATTGACTTATATCAATGAGCCTTTAATTACGTTACATGAACAACACCAGCAGAGCGACACAAACACTCAGACGGCTAAAAGAAAGAAGGTGCAGTCAGACACCAGGCAGCGTTATCGCCGTTCTGCCGACACGCCTCCACAGAGGGAGGCAAAGTAAAGTAAAGGGGAGCTCAGGACACCAGAGGCTGGTCGGGCATATTCAGTAATGTGAGAGACAAAAGGGAGAACCTGCCCTGCTGCATTCAAGGCATTAACACTCTTATCTGCTCTGTTTGAATAAAAACTATGCGGCTCGCTGAGGGCAGCACCAGACCATGGGCGTGCGCTGGTGGAGGTGAACTGGGTTTCTATTCGGAAACTTTACCATTTAAATGAAAAAAATCAATACAAAGCAAACATCCTGCAAAACAGAGGTCCAGTCTACGGTTATCAGACTTTTGTTTTGTATCCAGCATAAGCAAAGCAAACAGCGAGCATGTAGCTGCGCTGAGTTTAGCTCAGCCTCACAGCCTGACAGTTTTCTTGCTGTTGCCTTTAAAAGATCCTGAAGATAAAGCGACATGTTGCAGAGTATTTCCCCTCCAGAGGAAGGTGTGGTTTTCACGTTTTTTTGCACAGTAAGTCATTTATTTTATCACAGTGGTTCCGTGTGCATGAATGTGTTGATGTGTGACAGTCAGAGCACAGAGCTCTGTGACTTCCTGACCTCTTCATGTAAAACAGCATGTGGTTCAGTGTCAGTGACTAAAACAGAGATATGCCCGCCTGCACGTCTGCCTCACACTCCCCACAAGTTCTTTGAAAAGATCAGCGTGCTCGGTTTTCGCCTGGTTGCGTCCTGCATGAGGAAACTGTGGTACGCTGGAAAATGCATCGTACAAATATTGGGGTTACTTTGACTAAACAGCCTGATTTATAAAAAGAAGCGGCGCTGCACAGATGGTGCTCAGAGCTCCAGAACAGTCGAGTGTAAAAGCCTGAATGTAGTTTCAGTGCACAGAAACTCGCCATCCTGTTTCACTCTTCAGGAAATTAGCACTTTTTGAAAAAGCTGCGACAGTGTGAAGCCGCGATAGGCAGAGTTACCTCAGCGGGCCTCCCCCTCCGCACCTGAACCATCAAAGGCCACAGGAATGGAAAACCGAGTGCACTCGAAGTGTCAAGCAGAGGTCTGGACTGCCCTCACAACAGAAACGAGAGTCTCCTCTCGTTTGCAAACCCACTTGCTCGGTTGGTACTGAATTTACTCACGAAACATCTTCAAAGCTCAGTGGAGGCAAGAAACCACAGCGTTCATCTGCCTGGCACAGATCTGAGTAAAACAGCACCAGACAGCCGCTCTCTGATTTCTATTTGATTTCTTTGTCATTTTTTTGGTTTGTTTCAAAAGAGAAAAACAAAATGGAGCTGATAACCATCTGGTCAAGCTCAGGTCAGACTGAGAGGGCGGCGGCGTGGCCCAGCCATCGGTCTGCTCCCCCACAGCTCAGGACAGAGAACCCTGTGATCCTACATCACCAGAACGGCTTCAGGTCGACTGCAGCTCTAACCTCATGTCTTTGTTTCAAAGCATTTACACTTTTCACACAAGAAACACAGAGAACGCAAACCAGAGAGCAGAAGCTGTCTGAAGACGATGAAGCTGCCTCACATGACCTACAGCTGCAGCTCACGTCTTCTTCTTCGGCTCTCTGGGCTCACCGGCGCTACCAGAACTCACCCTGATGTGGCACACCAACCAAAACAAGCTTATGAGGTGACAAACTATGTGAGAGAAGGCA